ATGTTCCTCATCTTCTTCCTTATTTTTAAACTCATACTCGGAACGACCGTGAAAACTACATGGACTATTTATTCCACTAATTGGTTAGAGACTTCGTTATTGTGTAATATTAGGTCAAAGTACCCAACAAACCACGTGACTTTCCAATGGCGTTGCTAGGTCGGCTGACGACGAAAATTCGAAACAGCATTTGCTTGCGAATTAATATAAATACAGATATTTCGAAAAGTGTACTTTTCTTAAAAATGGGTAGAAAACAATCACTGCAAAAACTGATGCTTCTCACTATTAGACAAATATCTTTCTATATTCAACACTGTATTGTTATATTGAAGATCGCACAGAAGTGGAAAGCTGACGAATATGTGCTAGTTTCAACAGACTACATGAATTGTGAATGAAAGTATTACTTATCATGACTCATAACTGATGTATTGAAAAAGGATCACAAACTATGCACACTTCTTTAACTATCAATCATTGTGAGACAGCTTATGACTATTAACAGCCATTTAGAAAATACTCCATAAAGTGTTCAAATCAGTTTTAGACACATCACAACATACCCTGAAATGTTTTCTTTATCAGTAATTTAAGATCTAGCAAAGAGAGGTGATAAATAATTGAATTTTCTACAATTATTCAATTCGGACGAAGCAATCTTCATACGTACCATTAATCATGACAGGAGAAGTCAGCAGTCTAAAGTGAATATGTATTCTATGTTTTTAATAGTATAAGAACAAAAAAGACGTCAGCCGTATTTTCTTTCGTCCTATTCTTATTTCTACACAATGTTTACCGTAATGTCTTCATGAATGGACGAGAGCAACTCAGCCTTTTTAGAACTTTTGTATGATTTTTTCTAATGATGATGATGATTTATTGTATGATAAACTACGCCTATGTTACATGACTATCAGCAGAATGAGAGAAAATGCGACCGGCGACTTTTTCGTTCTTTCACCAGTAATATTCTATGTCGACGTTTTACTTCGGATAACAACCAAAACTGTTTTTCGAATGACAAGAAAAAGTGTCATGTATTTGAATGAAGCTGCCATTATAAGAAACAAAAAATAGCTGAACTGCCATATTAGTTATAAGCTTTATTTAATTAAGCTTATGACGCCGAATCTGGAGTTGTGTTCGAAAAAAGAACGTGCATTGATCAATTTCCAATATCGAGCATTTATCCTTCCATTTTCAGACGTTTTCTACGTAGCGTAGTTTGCTAGATCACGTCATGCACATTTTGTACAAAAATGATTTTTCTGATGAGGCCTTCTCCAAAAGTGCCAAATAAGGGGAAGGACTCTTAATTGCCATTGAAAAAGCAACTTGAGATTTATAATCTTCGGCTTATGAACTTTATTGATGCAGTAGTAAAAGAACGGTGAAATCGCGATAATGGTAGCTCTTCTCATCCACCCTTCAGCTCCTCACCCCTTGATAAAGTCATTGATCTTAGATCAGGGCGAGTTTATGTTTGATATTATTTGCATGGTTATTCGGATTAATTGTCTTCCATTGTTTCTTTCACCATAGTAATTCTATTCGCAGTCCAAACAACTTCTGTATGTGTTGGTGGCAATGTCTCTCGGCTAGTATAGAACGATTTTTTTATAGCGTTCAAGTGCTTTTCAAAGTCGCCGATGCGTTCGTAAAGCCAACCAAGATTGTAGAATGTCAAAGCAAGATCAGGATGGTTTGCTGATAGGATTGATCGTCGAATCTGAAGAGCTTTGTTGTAATATTATATTCGAGAGCTAAATCACGCTGTTGTAGTTCATCGTATGCTCTCGCCATACCAGTGTATGTCTTAGCAAGATGATAAGGATTGGAAAGAATTATTTTTTCTTGAATTCCCATGACCTTTTTAAAATGAACTAAAACATGATCGTGATTTAGTTCTCCAAATAACCAATAATTATGTCCAGTATCCGCATGATTCGGTCCTAAGAGCTGTTCTTGTATTTGTAAGACCTGCTTCCCGTATTCATCACTTTTGTGATATACTTTGTTCATACGATATACGTTTCCACGCGCGCATTGAGCGTCTCCCACGTCCGGTTGACCCTCTTCCAACATTCTTTTATAGCATTTTTTTTGCCTGCTCGTATTTACCCATCTGGATCAAAATTTGATCGAGAGCGGTATCGCCATTAACCTGCTCTTTGAAATAAGCAAATGTTTCTTTCAACTGATAATCATCTTCACTGCCAATGTAACAACTAGTGCTCATTCAAAACGAATCAGTTTTAGATGGAAGCCACATGAGTAGATAGCGAAATGTTTGCTTTATTCCGGAATAAAAAAGTTAGCTAAAACGGACACAAAAAGAAGCGAAGTTATAAAGGTTTTACTGAAAAAATCGAAATAGTGATGGACTTTGGATCAGTCACTCTGTATTCTACATACAAGAAAGAAAACAATAACAGTAACAGAGAAAGTAGAACGGTTTCTGTATTTAATCAAGAACAACACTACATGTAACTCCAGCCTTTTTTTGTCTTTCTAAATTACCAAGATCATTATTTAAACAATAACATGTATTTTGATTACATAAATGTGATGTATACCATCATTGTGATTTAGATAATAAATAAGGATGATTATTTGTAACACGCATCATTAACCCTGTTCAAACAATAGGAGAGCCTGGATCTTCAAAGTTCACAATTTGTTTACCGCCATGATCAACAACCCATTCAATAACACTATTATTTATATTAGGATCGCCAGTAGTACTGTTAGCCGATAATGTTTTGTTTGCTATTTTTTTAATATTGTCTGGATGAACACGGCATTCTAATACAAATTGCAAATATCTACCAGATTTGGAAAAATCCGTTTGATATTCCGATGGAATTTGTTGGACATCAGAATATCTTGGATGACATGCATAATTAATGGAGGGACTAAAATATACTCCAGCACCATGTGCTGCCTGATTTGCAAGTTTTAATCCACTTAATAATAAAATAGCTAAACCATATTGAAATTTTGTACCGTGATAACATATACACCATCCTTTAAATTTCTGATAAGAGTCTTGTGGTGTTTTAGTAATATAAAACGAGTATATTTTCCATCCAACAGGACAATAATATGGTTTACTACCACGATCTTTACCATCATTCAATTCACCACTCCAATATGTATGACCTTTATAATATATGCGATTCCAGTCACAATTTAATTTTTCATCTGATCAATACCAAATTTTATTTGTCTTGATGATGATAATTCAATATTATTATCACTAGAAATTGCTATTAATGGTTTTCCTACAACACGATAATATTTTTTACAGTCTTCATAATATGCTTCTTCTTCTATTGATAGTCGTTCTTCTAAAATTTAACAAGTAAAAAAGTTGTTAGAAAGAACGGGGTACAATAAGAACGAGAATCGGTCCCATTTCAGATATTCTCGACAGGTATCTAGAATGAAAGAGCATTTGATTTTATGGGGTTCTAGAGCCTTGATTTCTCTTCGAGCCTCATATCTGTGAGAAAAATCGATTAGCTTTGACTAATAGCTCCCGGAACCCATTCCGATGTGTTTTTCGTACTTTTCTCAGAATACAACAAGTTTGAAGGTAAGTTTTATATACCATTTGATGCAGCTTTAAAAGGCGAACAGAACTATCTATTGCTCAATTGTTATGTGCACTGTGAGCATCCACATTTTATTTTCAACCCTACCTTTCCCATTATCTAGGAAGTGAATCAAAGAAATTTGTTTCGAGCTTAAAGAGAAGTCTCCACAAATTTGGTATTACAAATATAGGATTTGGATTTCGAAAGTATCGGACACTGGGTAGCAGTTTCTCACACAAATACAAAGGAAAAGATCATAGAAAAGTTGGAGTTGTTTATTGTGTAGAATGCAAAGATTGTGCTAACATTTACGTGGGACAAACAGGGAACGAAGTAGGC